CTCAAGGCAGCCCAGCTCCAGGTCGAGCTGTTGTTCAGCATCTTAGCTGTAGAGGGCAGTGTCACTGGCCCTCATATATGGGATCCGAACCGGGGTCCTCTGGCATCCCAAGCCAGTTGTTAACCGTTGCGCCACTCGGCCGGCCCTGAGTGTGTTTTATTTTTTAAAAATCTTTTATACATTCATAGTTGTTAAGATATACAGTAGTATATATTGAAGTCTTACCACCCAGCTGTCCAGTTTTTTGCCCCAGAAACAACAGGTATTATCAATTACTTGTGTATTCTTCCAGAAATACTCTGTTTACATGAGCAAGGTAATACACTCATATTTTCCCTCCTTTCCCTTTTCATAGGAATGGTACATACTGATTATGTACCCATTGCTCTCTTTATGGGCATTTAGTTGTTCCGATATAAATTTTGGCTGTTAGAAGCAGTACTGTACTGGCTCTTTCTGTACCTTTATCTTCGTTCATACATGTAGACTTTATCTGGGGTAGACCTAGAACTGCAGTACTTAGTGGTAGAGTAGACTTACCTTTATTAAGTCTCCTTTAAAGTGACTGCTCCAGACACCAGCAGTGGGTGCAGGTTTCCAGTGCTCTGTATCTGCCTGCTCTTGGATACTGGCAGACTTTTAAGTTTTTTTCAGTTGAATGAGTGTGGAATTTTATTGTGGCTTTAGCTTATATTTCTCAGATGACTAGTGCTGGGGTACATCTTTCCTTGTGTTAATAGCCCATTCGAATTTCTTCTGTAAATTTCCTATTCATAATCTTAATTTCACTTCTCATTTGTTGTTTGCCTTTTTTTATTGATATGTTACATTTCTATAAGTATTTTTTACACTAGTCCTTTATTGCTTTTGTCGGTTGCAAATATTTTCTATTCTGTGGCTTATGTTTTAGTCACTCATTTTTCTACTTGATCTTTATATTTTTGAAAATGGCCTTTTCCTGTGTAATTTTTAAAATATAATTTAAAATCTTATTTCTGCAGATTTCACTAGGGGTGACTAAAGTGTATGCAGTATGTTGTGTTATTTTTTTTCTAGTGGATCAACAACCTGGAGGTTGATAGCAGGTATAATTCATGGCCTTCTAGTCTACAAGAGCTGCTTCGACCCACCTTTCCTGGTGTTATCCGGCAGATCAGGAAAAACTTGCATAACATGGTAAGTAAAACTACTTATTGTCTGGCCATGAATTTTGTTTCTGCCTTGCGTTCTCTCATATGACCTCTTTGTCATATCTAGAATGTTAACTTCTGTCCTTTACTAGCCTAGCCGCTTTTCCCCAACACTACCACTACTAAATAGACTCTTTTTCTAGCTCCATATTCAAACTGAAAAGGGTTTTGAAATGTCTCTATCCTTTGTAGAGCTGTGAGATGTCAATGTATGAGGAAACGCTCCTGAGCCTTAACCTGAAGATTCAGACTGTGTTAGTTTTAATATAATTCTTTTTTATTCAGAAGATGAATGAATATGTTGCTACTGTTTTTCTTGAATATCTTAATCCTTAAAATTTGATAGTTCAGTTATTCCCTTAAATATTCTTTCCATCATCACCTGCGTGTTATTCCTTATTTCATTGCTTTATTTATTTATTTTTTTAAAAGATTTTTATTGGGGAATTGGGGGATGGGAACAGCGCTGGGGAATTGGGGGAAGGGGAACAGACAAGTTGCTGTCCTTTTGTTCTTCAGTCTAGTTGTGGAGGACGTTGCTTCACTGGCCCAAGTTGGCACCATCATTGTGCTCTTCCCTGGCGAGGCAGATCAGTCGCCAGCTTCTGGACGGCCGCTCACTGCGGCTGCTGGCCACTCACGCTGGCTGCTGGCTACATACGGTAGCCCATGGCAACCCACTGCCACAGGGACTGCAGCCTACGCCGTCGCCGGCAACTCAGGCAGCCCAGCTCCAGGTTGAGCTGTAGTTCAGCATCTTAGCTGTGGAGGGCAGTGTCACTGGCCCTCATATGTGGGATCCGAACCGGGGCCCTCTGGCATCCCAAACCAGTTCCTAACCATCGCGCCACTCGGCCGGCCCTATTTCATTGCTTTAGAGTGATAGAGGAAGAGAGTTCTTAGCTGGCCCTCTTTTTTCCCTCTCACTTCCTCTTCTTCCCTTATGTAGCTTCTAAAGAGACTGGGGGCCGTTTAGTGCCAAGGTCGGCTTCCGCAGAACTTGCCAGGGAAACTGTCCTCAATATTTCCCTTACTCTTAAAACCATCTTTTTTTCCTTCCCAGTCAAAATTTCAATCTGTTTGTCTCTTACCATATGTCTGAACTTCATTGAATGAGATAATAGTTTTTAAAGCACATGAGAACTTAATACATAATAGCTATTGTCTAAAAGTTGAGTTCTAAATGAATCCTTAATTCAGAGATCCTTAGAAATCTAATCTTAATTTTCTAAGGTGGGAGAATTAATAAAACTTGGGTTTTGTTAGGTATAGTAAAAGGATGGGTATTAGCAACCTGGGATACAATTCCCATGTTAACTAGCATAAGACCATGAGAACATCACTCATCCTTTCAGCACCACATTCTTCGGACATAAGGGAGAGTAACTGCTATTTGTGTACCTCCTCTCTTATGTGGTTTAAGAGTAGCTGGGAAAAGATTGCCATCAAGTGTAAAGGCTAAGGACATTGTTATTAGCCCAGTGACATTTTAATGTCGTTTCACATGTTCCTTTCCCTCTCCCTGCAGGTTTTCATAGTTGATCCTGCTCATGAGAGCACGGCAGAGCTGATGAGCACAGCGGAGATGTTCCTCAGTAATCACATCCCACTAAGGTAACACCGATACTGGTTTGAGGATGTACCTAGTTTAGCCCAGGTTTGTGTGTCATTCCTAAATGCAGTTCTGGTGCCACTGAATTGTAGGGTAATTAGTGGTGGGGATCATAATGGCAGTTTTATCTTTTGCTCAGTAGGAAGCCAATATCTTTTGGGGTAAAGAATTTGATTCTCAAGGAACAGAAGTGTGCCACCACTGGATTATTAATAAATAGCTCATGCAAAATACAGAGAGTACTAAAAAAATGTATTCACATTTTAAGAAAAGAAAAACTTGTATTAAAATTGTAATATTCAATATATACCAATAACAAAAGATGAATACAAGTTATATGTATACTTATTTTTGGCATCCCCAGTAGTTTGTGGTCTGAGGTCCTTCCCAATGAAATGAAATAATACTTGGAGTTTTTCCAAGTGAATTGTCCACATCCCAAAACCCATCTCCACTTCCAGTGGAGATAGAGCTTTGCCAGCAACTTTGGATAGAGTGTCAGGTACTAAATGTGTGTGTGTGTCCAGGTACTAAATGTGTGTGTGTGTCTTCTGTAGATGCAGATAGACACATTTATTTCATTTGTTCTCCAGTTATACCAGCACAGTACTTGAATGGCTGGCTTTCCATTGTGCCTTTGGAGAACAGTATTTTAAGGTTTTACGTATAAGAACTAAGATATTCTCATTTACATTCTGAATAAAATCTGGTAATTTTACATGTTGCCAAAATTTAAATTCTTTGAAAAAATGAGAATAAAAAAGAAAATAAATCTTTAGCTAACAACTGTTATTGTGTATTCCGTACCCAGCGCTGAGCTAAATACTATGAAGTATATAAACCACATTTTTACCTTGTTTGGAAAAAATACTGTGCATACTTTCAGACACTTAAGAAGATATTTGATTGTTAGGTTATAGCCTATTAGTTATAAGTGCTTTAGAATTTCAGGGAAACAAAAGGTTATAGACTGAGATATTTGGAAGGACAAAGGCTTCATGGAAAAGTTGGATTTCAGATAGACTGAAGAAAACAGAGGGTTTTCATTAATGGAAAAGCAGAGATTTTGAGTTTACTGAAACTTTTCATGTAAAATGTGCATACCACCTGGTGAGAGGGAGAATAAACTACTGGATGACTGCCAGAGCTGTGCTTTGGTTAAGGGTACATACAAGAACACAGAAGAAGTTGGCTCATGGTACACAGTGGGCACTGATTAAGTGTTTCCTGAAGTGCACTGAGGGACAAGAGGAGCGAGTGTGGGACAAGAGGAGCGAGTGTGGGCTTGAGATTGCAGTGGTTACTGAGAGGAAGGTGGTAGAGAGGCATGCTGTTTACAGTGGGAGGAGGCCCAAGCAGACCATCTGTTGTTTCACCCTTTGTTTGGGACACACTAAAGTGTTGATGGTGTCACAGAGAGGAGGGGACAAATTTGAGTGATTTGGTGAAGGATGGGGAGAAACAGAAGTCAGAGTTTTGGTGCTTTGCTGACAAAAACTGATGCTCTTTCTAGAAATTGGAAACTTGGGAAGGGGAATTGCTTTGTGAGGAGATAATTAGGCTCTAGCCATTATTTTTGTTTTCATTGTAATAATATCTAGGTCATTTCTGCCTGGATTCTACTCATGATTTCTGTCATTAGTGGGATTTTAACAAATACAGTTTACATCTAAAAACAAACCCTCTTGCTAACCCCATCCACGTATGCACACCTTGTATACATACATCCTGAGAGCTTGAAGTTTGATATTTTTTTTCTATTTTTAGGCTATGCCTTTTAAAAAAATTTATGGACTTTGTATTTTTTAGAGCAATGTTAATTAATTAGCTGGTATTGATTGACTGTTATTAAAAGTCCATAGTTTACTGTTTGAGTTGTACATTCTTTTCTTTTCTAATTAGTTTCAGCTGTATAACACAGTGCAATAATTATACTTTTTACCCCTCAAAGTAACAACCCCTCTCCCCCAATCCACCGCCCCACTCCCGCCCCCAATATCATACATATCTATTACAATTCCACTGACTCCACTCCCACACTATATTCCACATCCCATGACTATATAGATATTCAGTTATAGTTGACATACAGTATTATACAACATCAGCTTCAGGTGTACAGTACAGTGATCAAGCCTCTACCCCATCCATGAAGTGTTCTTCCTAACAAGACGTGACCATCTGACACCCTACAAAATATTTACAACATTATTAATTATATTCCCCGAATTGTCTTTCATATGCCTGTGGCAATATTGTAGTTACCTATTTATGCTGTCTAATCCCTTCCCCTTCTCCCTCATCCCCACCCCTCTCCCAACTAGCAGTCATCAGTTGTTCCTCTGTATCTCTGAGACTATTTCTGTTTACTTTGTTCATTCATTCAGTTTTTTAGATTCCACTATAAGTGAGATCATGTGGTATTTGTCTTTCTCCGACTGACTTATTTCACTTAACATAATAGTCTCTAGGTCCATCCATATCGTTGCGAATGGAACGATTTCCTTCTTTATAGTGGAGTAATACTCCATTGTATAAATGTACCAAGTTTCTTAATCCAGTCGTCTACTGACATTTCAGTTGTTTCCAAGTCTTGGCTATTGTAAATAGCACTGCAGTAAACATAGGGGTGCATATATTTTTTCGAATTAGCGTCTTGGGTTTCTCTGGATAGATACCCAAGAGTGGAATTGCTGGGTCATACGGTAGTTCCATTTCCGTTTTTTGAGATACTTCCATACTGATTTCTATAATGGCTGCACCAATCTGCAGTCCCACCAACAGTGCACCAGGGTTCCCTTTTCTCCACAACCTCACCAGCACTTGTTGTTTGTTGATTTATTGATGATAGCCATTCTGACCGGAGTGAAGTGGTATCTCATTGTAGTTTTTATTTGTATTTCCCTAATGATTAGTGAGGTTGAACATTTTTTCATATGCCTGTTGGCCATCTGTATGTCCTCTTTAGAGAAATGCCTCTTCATATCCTCTGCCCATTTTTTAATTGGGTTGTTTGTTTTTTTGGTGTTGAGTTGAATGAGTGTTTTATAAATTTTCGATATTAACCCCTTATCAGGTTAAATTGTTGGGAAATATCTTCTCCCATTCAGTAGGCTGCCTTTTTGTTTTATTGATGATTTCCTTTGCTGTGAAAAAACTTTTAAGTTTGATGTAATCCCATATGTTTATTTTTTCTTTTATTTCCCTTTCCCGAGGGGATATATCAGTAAAAATATTACTGAGGGTAATGTCTGCAAATTTACTTCCTGTGTTTTCTTCTATGAGTTTTATGGTTTCAGGTCTTACATTTAAGTCTTTAATCATTTTGAATTTGTTCTCATGTATGGTGTAAGTAGATATCCATTTTCATTTTTTTGCATGTGTCAGTCCAATTTTCGCAGCACCATTTATTAAATAGACTATCTTTACTCCGATGTAAATTCTTGCTTCCATTATCATAGATTGAATGACCATATATGGATGAGTTTATTTCTGGGCTCTCTATTCCGTTCCATTGATCTATGTGTCTGTTTTTATGCCAATACCATACTGTTTTGATTACTATAGCCTTGTAGTATGATTTGATGTCAGGTAGCATGATACCTCCCACTTTGTTCTTATTTCTCAAGATTGCCATGGCTATTCGGGGTCTTTTATGGTTAGGTACATTCTGTGGGTCTTGACAATGTATAATGATGTTCCCACCATTGTAGATTTATACAGATGAGTTTCACTGCCCTAAAAGTTCCTATGCTTCACTGATTTGTTCCGCCCTCCCTGCCAGCCCATGGCAACCACTGATGTTTTTATTGTTTCCATGGTTTTGCCTTTTCCAGAATCCTGAGTATGTAACTTTTTCATATTGGTTTCTTTCACTTAGCAGTATGCTTTTAAGGTTTGTTCGTGTCTTTCTGTGGTTTTGAAAGCTCATTCTTTTTGTCACTGGAAAATACTCCATTATATGGATGTATCATAGTTTCCTTTTGTTTTTCTTATCCATTCACCTGTTGACAAACATCGTGGTTGCTTCTAAGTTTGAGCAGTTATGAATAAAGCTGCTATAAATATCTGTGTATGTTTTTGTGTGGATATGTTTTCAACTTGTTTGGGGAAGTACCAACGAGCATGGTTGCTGTATCTTATGGTAAATGTGTTTAGCTTTATAAGGAACTGCTGAGCTGTTCCCCAAAGTGGCTGTCCCATTTGCGTTCCCACCAGCAGGGAGCGAGCGCTCCTGTTGCTCCAGGATGTGTTGGTGTCGGTTTCTGGATCTTAGCCATCCTAATAGGTGTACCTTTCTGTGGTGGTGATTTGAATTCTGTAATGATAGGTGATGTGGAGCACCTTTTTATATGCTTATCTGCCAACTTTTTTTGTGTGTGTGTGTGTGTTTTAAGAGTTCTTTGTATATTTTGGATATCAGTCCTTAATGAGATATATGTTTTGCACAGATTTTCTGCCAGTCTGTGGCTTGCCTTTATTCTCTTAACAGTTTCTTTCGAGGAGTAGAAGTTCTTAATTTAAATGAATTCCACTTTATCAATTCTTTTTGTCATGGGTCATGCTTTTGATGTTAGATCTAACAAGTCATTAACAAACCCAAGATCACCTAAATCTTCTCCTATTGCATTTTTTAGGAATTTTATGGTTTTGTAGTTTGCATTTATGTCTGTGATCCATTTGGAGTTCCTTTTTGTGAAGGTTATAAGGTCTCTATCTAGAGTCATCACTTTGCATGTGGATGTCCAGTGGTTCCAGCACCATTTGTTAAACAGAGTGTCCTTTCTCCATTGAATTGCTTTTGCTCCAGCATGGAGGAGTAGCCTCTGTTGGCCAGGGCAAGGGTTTTGTGTTTTTGCCAGTCTGTAGATGTGTAATGGTATCTCTTTGTTGTTTATTCCTTTATTTAAATTTTAAATTAAAATGTAATAATCTTTAACCTTGGTTGTAGCTTTTTGCTCAAGGACAATAATAAATGTTTTTATGTTTTCCGTTTACCTATGATTCTCATATTGCCTGTTAAATCTCAAAATTCCCCCCCCAATCATATTTTCACATTCTGAAAATTTTCACTTTTCCTAATTTTTGTTGAAAAACAATAAAATCTTTGTGTAAAACTATAGCCATACCTGTCATGTCAGTCAACGCCTCATTTCACAACGTGGGAATGGCTTCCTTTAACAGTTGAAAGTCTAAGCCCCTTTGGAAACTTGCTTTGCTTGTTCAGTAAGTGTTGAAAGCCTTTGCCAACCATCTCAGACTAAGATGTGAACTGTGCTTTTCAATAGAGGATCATTTTCCTCTATTGGCTGTAGTATTGGTGTGGGGTTCAAGGATGCCATTCCTTTTAACTGGTTGTGTTCTTTGAGATAAGTTTCTTGTCTTCTTTTCCCTTCCTCCTCTCCCCCAGACTTGGTTTAATCTTTGTGGTTAACGATTCTGAAGATGTAGATGGGCTGCAGGATGCTGGAGTGGCTGTACTGAGAGCGTATAATTACATTGCCCAAGAGGTGGATGACTACCACGCCTTCCAAACTCTCACACATGTATGTGTTCATTGCAAATGGTGAATAACTTTTAAAAGTCAAACTTACTCTAAGAAGCAGTATGTGGTAAGTAAGGGGATTCGATATTTCTGTACAGAGAAAGTAAGAAATTGTTCACACAAACTTTATGTGTTTGATATTTTAGGAGTTGTCTCTACTTTGTTGATTCACCAGTGTTAATAAAGAGTGCTGTGGTTTCAGCCAAGATAATCTTTCTTAGGAGCCACACTAACGTATGTTAGTCTTTGTCTTTTTGTGGTTTGAAATCACTCATTAATGCCTTTTGGTAAATATGATGTTCTCTGCTTGTTTAAAAAAATGTTTGCCCTCCCACCTCGCCAAAGACCATCGTAATCTTTTCATTAGGATTCAGTTTACTTTTGAAGTTATAAAATTCTTATTGTTTGTTTTCTGCATATTTAACTAGAAATTTTGAAATGCCCTGATTTTTATATATATTTAAAATACTTGCTCAAATTCAAACGAAGAACTCCTTGTTTTCTTGTCTTTTCTATTTTTAAGTATAAAAAACTTCATAGTCAATAAATTAAAAAAAATTACATTCAGAAGTACAGTTCTTTTGTTTACAGATTAGTGGTAATTATTAAAAAGCCATCTTGAAAGCAGTTGATTTTCTCCATTTTTATTTTACCCATAAACATGATATCATCAGTCTGCTGTTTATTATGTTGGTTATGTTTATTGTTTAGAGATTCAGTCGAGGCATTTTTTATTAGTTAAAATGTGCGTTTATTTATTCGGCTAACATTCACCAAGGACCTACCACTTACCAGACCTGCTACTATCTGTGAGGGTTGCCAAGAAGTGTAAGACGTCACCTCTGTTTTCAAAGACCTTACAGTCTCGTGGGGACACCTCCAACATAGAGGATTTACTAGTGTGGACTGGCTATGGCAGCACTGGGCCCTCCCTCCACTAGAGATGGCCATGGGCATTTTTGTGGAGTGGGACATTGTCCCAGCTGAGTGTAGGAGGAAAAACTGGAGTAGGTGAACAATGGCTGTAAGTGACCGGTAGTGATTCCAAGTTGTTAGTGTGACTTGAGCAGAGTATTATGAGAGCAGAGTGAAGAGGGGAGCCTGGTTGTTGAAGCCATTCAGGGAGGTAACAAGTGTCTAATCGCAGAGTTAAACTGTAATTAAAAAGATCATTCTGATGTGTCTGTGGAGATGGATCTGATGAAGGGCAAAGAAAGTGTCCAGGGTACTAGCTGATGAGCTGTTGCTGTGATTGCTGAGCAGTGATGGTGATGGGAGGTAGTAAGAGGGATATGGGGGAGGAAATAAGTTCAGAAGAAGTTGCTGAGGCTAAGAAGTGTTTTATTTTTTAATTCTTTTAAATTTTTATTGGGGAACAGCCATGGTCATTGGTTGCACATTGCTTTCATGTTACAATGGCATAGTTGACTCTTTTAGGGAGGGCGCAGCTTACAGTGGCCCATGCGGGGATCAGATCAGCAACCTTGGTGTTATCAGTATATGTAGTTTCTTTTTTTTTTTTTTTTAGCTGAGCCATCCTCCCACCTGTTGACAGCTCAGTGGCAGCTCAGCTTGGGCCGAGACTTGAACCGCTGTTGCTCAGAGCTCACACTCTTGAGCGAGCTCTTAACCAACTGAGCCACTCAGCCAGCCCTAGTATATGTAGTTTCTAATGTGAGAAGGCATGTTGAGGTATATGGAAAAGGGAGAATTGCTATTCCCATTGGACCTCTTAAGAAAAATAGCCATGTTTTCCTCTACATTCAGAGATCTTTTGTAGTAAACACTGAAATTTTAATTTAATAGTGTTGTTGGTTACCTGGTTTTCTTTTCTTCAGATATACAACAAAGTAAGGACTGGAGAAAAGGTGAAGGTTGAGCATGTGGTCAGTGTCCTGGAGAAGAAGTACCCGTATGTGGAAGTGAACAGCATTTTGGGGATCGATTCTGCTTATGATCAGAATCGGAAGGTAACACATTCTTTGGCACATCTCATGTGATTGCAACACTGCGCTCTCGTCACCTCCCCTTTTTAGGTTGTCGTTAACAAAGGTGATGGTGGTTAAAGTATTTAGGTATTTAGCATCTATAAATTTAGAAACCAGATCACTTTTCTATGTTTATGAATGTAGTTTAGATTTCAGTTTTGTGAAGATATCATTGATTTTTAGCTGGCATATTAATTATTAAAATGTAAAGCCATTTGTTTTTCACAATGCACTGATAGTACTTGTATGACATATATTCTGGATAAAATCTATTGAATGTATGATGTATGATTGTCAGGATATGAGGTATAGCTTAATGTCTGTCATTTATAGTTGTTCAGGTTAAAGATGGGAATGTATTAAGAAATGTAATAAACAGAATGGTAAAATGTAATAAGGATATAGAGAAATACTTAAAAATATTTAAAGATAATAGTGTTTCTTGTGAGATATTAAGTACAGTAAAGGGCTCTTATCTATTGCAAGCAGGAATGAGGTGGTCAGTTTATTGAAAATAAATGTTAAGGCAATGAATCAAAATACATTCCCAAAACATTTAAATTTAAAACAATAGATATATTTATCAACTTTTTTCCCTTTTTCAAATGAAGGATAAGGCCTTTGGTTATTCTGTTTGGAGAGCAGAGCTATTATTCCTTTAGAAACCATATTCATAATGAATTGTTTATAATTTTTTTTTATTATTAAAGATTTTATTGGGGAATTAGGGAAGTGGAACATTGTGTTTGCCCAGGACCCATCAAGCTCTAAGTCATGTTGTTGTCCTTCAGTCTTAGTTGTGGAGGGCACAGCTCAGCTCCAGGTCCAGTTGCTGCTTTCAATCTAGTTGCAGGGGCATACAGCCCACCATCCCGTGTGGGAGTCGAACCCGCAACCTTGTTGTTAAGAGCACATGCTTTCATCAGCTGAGCCATCTGGCTGACCATTGGCAGCTCAGTGGCAGCTCAGCTCAGGCGCAGCTCACTGGCCCATGTGGGAATCGAACTGGCGACCCTGTTGCTCAGAGCTTGCGCTTTAACCAGCTGAGCCACCTGGGCGGCCCTATAATTTCTTTTTCACCTGAGCACAGAATCCTTTGAGATTTTTGTACTATCCCTCCCATGTTTTATAGTTGTCTTATGAGTTATCTCATTCAGCATCAGCTGTTTTTAGCTTTTCACCTTTTTGAGTTTTTGTAGTCATTCAATTTATTTTCTTGGGGACACCAACTTTGTTTTTGCACTCATATTTTACTGACTTGCATAATATTGACTTATGTTATTTCACTATGAAAAATAGTTGGTTTGGAAACAGACACAGCTGGTCTTTGAGAAACATACAGCTCAAACGAGGAGAGCAAAAGTGTGTGCGTTCTAGAGAGTAGCTCACCAGTATAAGAGCTTAACATGCTTTAATATCAAGTGTTTATTGCTATTGACGTGGTTAATTTAGATTGGTTAAGAGACCTGTTATGTAAATTGACCCATGTTTTACTATTTAGTGAGAACAAAATACAAGAACTTAACAATTAGAGATACTTCTGAAATACTTTGAAATAAGGAATAAAGTTTTAATTTTAAACACATATGGTAGTATACTGGGTAACTTCTTTGTGCCAGCCCTGATAATAGAAAGTGAAACAGGAGTGGGTGCCTGTACTTGGGGCATCACGCAGCCTGTTGGAGGGTGACACAATAAAAGCAGTAAGGTTTTGGAGATTGTGAGTTAGTAGGGTTTACTTTGTAGGTGGCAGGCCTAGAGGAACGAGGGGCGGCCCTGCCAGTTTAGCACAAGGTGATTGTTGAAGGCTTCTTAGAGGTGGTGACACCGGTCTACCCTGTGAATGAAAGTTTTTAGAGAGATTAATATAAAATCAAAACAAACAAAACACAAACCCACAGGTTATTATTATCTGTGTAAATTGATATTGAGTCCAGCACTGATTAAAATACCAGCTCTTTACCAATACTTTTGAAAAGGTAAGCTCATGCCAAAAGCTAGTGCATCTGTGAGAATGAGCCAGTTTGCCTTTTTCCTCATTACTGTTTTTGATATGTGCTTTAGTGTTTTTTATTTTTTAACAGCCAATGATAAGGATTTCCCCCCAGCTTTATTGAGATATAATTGACATGTAACATTGTGTAAGTTTGAGGTGTATAGTGTGTTGATCTGATATAGCCCACAGTAGGGCTAATTAGCACCTCCATCACCATTTCTTTTGTGGTGAGAATATTTAAGACTTATTGTCTTAGCAATTTTCAAGTGTACAGTACAGTATAGTATTGTTTTTTGTTTTTTTTTNGGGGGGACTGTTATATATTAAAAAGAAACATAGGTCATATTAATCAAATGCAACTGGGAATATTGATTAGATCCTTATTTAAAAGAATCAAATTATGGGACAATCAAGAAAATTTAAACGCTGAGTGGATATTAGATAATATTAAAGAATTATCGTTAATATTTTAACAGTAATATATATATATTTTTTAGCTGAGCCATCCTCCCACCTGTTGACAGCTCAGTGGCAGCTCAGCTTGGGCCGAGACTTGAACCGCTGTTGCTCAGAGCTCACACTCTTGAGCGAGCTCTTAACCAACTGAGCCACTCAGCCAGCCCTAGTATATGTAGTTTCTAATGTGAGAAGGCATGTTGAGGTATATGGAAAAGGGAGAATTGCTATTCCCATTGGACCTCTTAAGAAAAATAGCCATGTTTTCCTCTACATTCAGAGATCTTTTGTAGTAAACACTGAAATTTTAATTTAATAGTGTTGTTGGTTACCTGGTTTTCTTTTCTTCAGATATACAACAAAGTAAGGACTGGAGAAAAGGTGAAGGTTGAGCATGTGGTCAGTGTCCTGGAGAAGAAGTACCCGTATGTGGAAGTGAACAGCATTTTGGGGATCGATTCTGCTTATGATCAGAATCGGAAGGTAACACATTCTTTGGCACATCTCATGTGATTGCAACACTGCGCTCTCGTCACCTCCCCTTTTTAGGTTGTCGTTAACAAAGGTGATGGTGGTTAAAGTATTTAGGTATTTAGCATCTATAAATTTAGAAACCAGATCACTTTTCTATGTTTATGAATGTAGTTTAGATTTCAGTTTTGTGAAGATATCATTGATTTTTAGCTGGCATATTAATTATTAAAATGTAAAGCCATTTGTTTTTCACAATGCACTGATAGTACTTGTATGACATATATTCTGGATAAAATCTATTGAATGTATGATGTATGATTGTCAGGATATGAGGTATAGCTTAATGTCTGTCATTTATAGTTGTTCAGGTTAAAGATGGGAATGTATTAAGAAATGTAATAAACAGAATGGTAAAATGTAATAAGGATATAGAGAAATACTTAAAAATATTTAAAGATAATAGTGTTTCTTGTGAGATATTAAGTACAGTAAAGGGCTCTTATCTATTGCAAGCAGGAATGAGGTGGTCAGTTTATTGAAAATAAATGTTAAGGCAATGAATCAAAATACATTCCCAAAACATTTAAATTTAAAACAATAGATATATTTATCAACTTTTTTCCCTTTTTCAAATGAAGGATAAGGCCTTTGGTTATTCTGTTTGGAGAGCAGAGCTATTATTCCTTTAGAAACCATATTCATAATGAATTGTTTATAATTTTTTTTTATTATTAAAGATTTTATTGGGGAATTAGGGAAGTGGAACATTGTGTTTGCCCAGGACCCATCAAGCTCTAAGTCATGTTGTTGTCCTTCAGTCTTAGTTGTGGAGGGCACAGCTCAGCTCCAGGTCCAGTTGCTGCTTTCAATCTAGTTGCAGGGGCATACAGCCCACCATCCCGTGTGGGAGTCGAACCCGCAACCTTGTTGTTAAGAGCACATGCTTTCATCAGCTGAGCCATCTGGCTGACCATTGGCAGCTCAGTGGCAGCTCAGCTCAGGCGCAGCTCACTGGCCCATGTGGGAATCGAACTGGCGACCCTGTTGCTCAGAGCTTGCGCTTTAACCAGCTGAGCCACCTGGGCGGCCCTATAATTTCTTTTTCACCTGAGCACAGAATCCTTTGAGATTTTTGTACTATCCCTCCCATGTTTTATAGTTGTCTTATGAGTTATCTCATTCAGCATCAGCTGTTTTTAGCTTTTCACCTTTTTGAGTTTTTGTAGTCATTCAATTTATTTTCTTGGGGACACCAACTTTGTTTTTGCACTCATATTTTACTGACTTGCATAATATTGACTTATGTTATTTCACTATGAAAAATAGTTGGTTTGGAAACAGACACAGCTGGTCTTTGAGAAACATACAGCTCAAACGAGGAGAGCAAAAGTGTGTGCGTTCTAGAGAGTAGCTCACCAGTATAAGAGCTTAACATGCTTTAATATCAAGTGTTTATTGCTATTGACGTGGTTAATTTAGATTGGTTAAGAGACCTGTTATGTAAATTGACCCATGTTTTACTATTTAGTGAGAACAAAATACAAGAACTTAACAATTAGAGATACTTCTGAAATACTTTGAAATAAGGAATAAAGTTTTAATTTTAAACACATATGGTAGTATACTGGGTAACTTCTTTGTGCCAGCCCTGATAATAGAAAGTGAAACAGGAGTGGGTGCCTGTACTTGGGGCATCACGCAGCCTGTTGGAGGGTGACACAATAAAAGCAGTAAGGTTTTGGAGATTGTGAGTTAGTAGGGTTTACTTTGTAGGTGGCAGGCCTAGAGGAACGAGGGGCGGCCCTGCCAGTTTAGCACAAGGTGATTGTTGAAGGCTTCTTAGAGGTGGTGACACCGGTCTACCCTGTGAATGAAAGTTTTTAGAGAGATTAATATAAAATCAAAACAAACAAAACACAAACCCACAGGTTATTATTATCTGTGTAAATTGATATTGAGTCCAGCACTGATTAAAATACCAGCTCTTTACCAATACTTTTGAAAAGGTAAGCTCATGCCAAAAGCTAGTGCATCTGTGAGAATGAGCCAGTTTGCC